CGACGGGGAAAGGGCTGTCAGGCGGCGGTTGGGACAAGCACGACGAGACACTTGCCAACTTGCCTGGCCAATGCTGTCCTCAGGTCGGAAAGCACGTTTCAACCGCCTCGCAGCCATGAGATTTGATGCCACATTCGACAGGAAGGATCGTGAGTTTCGAGTTGCGGGTTGGGCTTCTAAGGATTTCGGAAAATTGGTTGGAGGGGGGTTTGGGACATGTTCGGGAATCTGGGGATCTGGGCCATTTTTGGGGACAACAGTGCCAGGCCTTCCATCTGGAACGCGGATCTGGAACTGAAGTCGGCCGGCTTCATCAGCAGGGGGCCTCAAAGGATGCCACTGAGGATGTAGGGTTTTATGGTTTAGGGTTTTCGGCTGGCAAGCCAAGCCATGCAATCGACTGCAAAATGCGGGGAGCAAAGGCAAATGCACGACTTCGTTTGCACTCCGACAGCCAACGTTCGCGTGCCCCATTCAGCCTCTAACTCTAAGCTATAAGCTCTGGCGTTCACCATGAACTGGCGTCAGGTGAACGACTCTCATCCTCCGCGTTGGAACTTAGCGATTCGGCCCATGACCATGGCAGATGCGTTGCGACCGCTTGCAGGGCCCTGGTTCAGCACCGCCGCCTGACACTCGGGAGACTGGTTTCGAAGAGACTCCGCACACATCTCGTCCAGCGCGTTTTCGGCAATGAAGCCCTCGAGCTGGTCCAGGAGGCCGTCTACGGGCGGCATGGGCACCTCACCGAAGGCTCCCAGATCCTTTTGCGCTTTCGCTATCCTGCCCATGACCATGGCTGATGGATTCCGTCCTTCAGCAGGCCCTTGGGCAACCACGGCGCGCTGCACCTCGGGCGCTTGGGACAGCAGCGCGTCCTTGCATTTTGCATCCAACGCGTTCGCCTGCGCAAAGTCCTCTACCAGAATCTCGGTCTCGTCGAAAGACTCCAAAGACTCCCGGCCGAGACCTCCGTGACCATGACGGTTCTCGGCCATCGGGGCATGTCCTTTGCCATAGCCATTGGCAGCTGCACTCCTTTGGTAGGCTGGTGTTATTACGGGCGTTGGGGTTCGGGAGCGCTCTCTTGGAAAGCTGCTACCAGTTAGGGGGCCACTGCTAAGGGAGCCACCGCGCGCTGTCACGCGGCTTGTGGCACTGGTTGCGTAGCTGCCATGGCCGCCATGACTGCCATGGCTGCCAAGTTGCAGCGCGTCGACCGTTGCCTGCAGCTCTTGTATGTGACCAGCTTGAAGCTGGATGGCCTTCTCAGCCTGATTGAGACGCCGCTCTAGGCGCTCGAGGTCCGCGCGAGACACTGCCATGTGCTCACGAGTTCCCCACTCGAAATTGAAATCGCTACATGGAGTCTGAGCTTGCCTACAGACTTGGACAGAAAAGCCCTGATCAGAAGCCGTCTGCTGCCGAACAGCAAGGCACAGCACGGAACCCTTAAGAGCGCTAAGCTCTGCCACTTCTATCTTAAGCTCTCTCTCTCTCTCTCTCTCTCGGCCGTGTTCCCCACAACGAGACGTCTCTGCAAACAGCACGATGCAAACATCTCTTGGGAGGCCGGCTCCGCGGTGATCACGCTCCGGGCCTGCCCCCCACAACTCCACATGAAGTAGGGATAAGTAGGGCTGCTATCTCTTGTACCCCCAGAAGGGCACCCTAGGTCTATACTCACCAAGACTAGAAGGGAACCCTATATACAGTGACCAAAAACAGCAATGTAAACCCTGCCACATGGGTCTCAGCTTCAGGGATATTCTGGGATGTTCAGGGTCTTAGGATAAGGAGCCTGTCCATGAAGATCAGAAGCCTGGGGCCTTCTCACCTCACGCAACACCCACCAAGGCTGTGCCTCATCCAGCTTTCGTGCAATTTCGTCCTGACGAGCCTGCTCGGCGGCTTCAGCCTGAGTTCTCCAGGTGATGGGCGGGGTACCATGGGTACGCCACCACAAGAAGGGGGCCAAGGACCCAAGCAGGGGACGGTAACGACCCCAAAACTCTGGCCCTAGACCCTAGGGCTTTGCCGCACCTGTCTTCGATCGTTTTCTGGCCCTGCCTGCTTGGCTTTGGACTCTAGCTCCTCGGCTTCTTGCCGTCTTCTCTCCTCCTCCTGCTTGCGCCTTGCAAGTTTTCATCTGCAAGGACGCATGCGAAAGATGAGAGAAACGAAATTGGCGAGTATACCAAGGACTCCAAACGGAACCACGACTTGTTGCTGTATTGAGATGCGCTGATAACAGGTGGCCTGAGCCATTCTGACAAGGAATGCAAAACCTAAACTGCTGGTGTGAGCCACCAGCAGGCTGAGCAGAAGGCACAAGTGGAGTAGCTAGTTCCCCTATGCCTAAACCCAACCCTGCCATGGCGCACACTGAGGCGGAGATTTTACACGCAGAAACAAGAACCTGTAAAGTTTGTGCTACTTGGTTAGGCTTGGCACCTACAACTATGTGAAATGCTGTACATACTTGAAATGATGTCATGCTCAAGGCTTGGGCCTACAAGAGCATTGGGAAAAACACATGGTACAACTGCTACAGGATGACATGTACAGGAGTAGGCTTCAACACTCCTCCTTCGCAACACCGCTAGGGTATTGCGACAAACAAAACCTGTACATGTCCGTCCCTTCCGGGAGGAGGTACAAGCTCCTACCGAAGGAAAGGCTGTAGCTGGCCGGCTGGCCTCAGAGTGAGAGGGCTCTCAAGGCACCTCTTTGCAAAAGAAAAGCACGGCTGGTAGGACTGCGCAATGGGACGCACAACCTACCCGTCGGGGCGGTGGATGCCCTAACGTGTGCTATGCTTCGTGCAGTCTGCCTGGCTCCTGTGGCACTGCTGGCAGACCTCAAACTCGATGAACCTGTGTGAATGGGCAAGTGTGGAACAGGCCTTAGTGCGATGAAGCTTGTTGCCTTCTGGCGTTGCAGAGAAACGAGTTGGTGCTTCATCGGCCTGCGTGGTGGAAGCTGGCGCATTCCTCCCGGAAGCGGTCACAAGACGCTGTGAGGAACTGGCGGCTGCTTCCCTCTCAGAGATTTCTGCCCGGATTGCTTGCTCTGTGCGGTTCCTAAGACGTTGCAACTTGCGTGCCTTGCGCGGGCTTAGCAGCACGCTGCTCGTGCCAAAGGTCCTGCGGGACAAGAGGGCAAAACTCCACTTCAGAAACTCCCACAAAACAATGGCACAAAACGCAACACCGAAAATGCAGACTGCAAGCATCAGGTCGGCGTCTAAGGGAGCTGGAAGCAACATGTCTTCGGGCTCTTCATCCTGCTGGCTGGCGGCACTTACGACTTGCAAAAAGACAAACAGCATGAATACCGCACAAACAGGATGATCACGTTTGCGGAACAGGTAAAACCCTGGCATGCCCCAACAAACTGCTGTCACAAGGCCATCTGCTGCTGCAGCTAAACGCACAGTCGTGAGCAGCACACGTTCTGCAAGGGGTTGTTGGGACTCCTCCTGGACAGGAGGCTCCGGCACGACACCGCTCAAACCCCACAACCTAACGCACTGCTCCTCCTCGACCCAGCACGGTACTGGAGCGCCTGAAGCAGCTGCTGCGGGCGGGTTCCGGACACCAGCGCACAGTGCAAACACGGCGCCACGCACGCCAAGCAACAACAGACACAATAACAGCAGCCGAAAAAGGAGGTTTGCCGTCAGACGTTGGCGTGCGTTGCGGGTCCCGCCCTCCCGGGGGGAGGTTGCTGGAACTGCAACACTGCTGGGCACTGTGGTTTCGTGCTCTCCTCCTGGCCTGGTGGCGAGGTCCTGGCGGTTTGTTGGCTGGACCTCACGCAGCCCAAACACGCAAAACCCACCAAAACCATCTAAACTAAACCTGCCCGGACAACACGGCAGTGGACCTGGCACCTGTGCAGGCCCATCTCTTCCGAGCGGCGAGAGTGGCAGACAAGTCCAGTCCAAATCATAGACGCTTGAATCCCCATCACCATCAAGCTGGTATCGTGTGGGGTTGTCGTCACACTCATCGTCGGCGTCCAACCTGAACCAAACGGTTGAGGACTGCTGCAGGCACACTTTGGGATCCAAAACTTGGGTCCCACAAACCCCCTTTTTTGGCTCCAAAAGGGGGGTTTGCCCTGGCCAAATGGGCACGGTCATTTGGGCACTTATTCCATGTCCCACCCCTGGCTTCAGACTTGGACTTACGTGCTCATCCTGCCCTCCAAGGGGCAAGCCAAAGGCCTGAAGTGCTTTGGCTATGACGAGGGTTGAAGAGACCTCGTTTGCAGTGCGGTTTGCAAACGTGCTGCGTGCGTTTTCACGCTGAGCCTCCAACTCAGCGATTAGCGTCAACGCCCTATCATGCTCAATCACAGGGCAACCGTTCTGAACCATCAACGTGGTGAGCTCATCTTCAGGGGAACGCAAGAAACACTCATCAGCTGTCCAACTCAACATGTACCCCAGCCGAGCGACAAGCTGTCCTAGGGGCACAATTGCAGTCGGCAGCTCATCCCTCCCGGGAGGCGTGAGTATCACCCCATGCTTGGTGATGCGCATGTGTGATGCGTGGCCCCCTGCTAAACCAACCTGCACCTTGTTTGTCTTGACCCACTCCTCCTGCGACGATGCTGGCCGTAAAGGGTGCGTGGCCCCTGAGTCTAGAAGGGCATGTCCAATGAAAGGTGGCTCGGACTCCACAGCTTGGGCACCGGGCAACCCCTCGATCTCGGCTCGAGAAGGGGGTTTGCTTGTGGGTCATTTGGAAGGCAACTAGCTGGCATGCTTGAGCAAATGGTGAGCTTCTGGAGGGATGGATTTGAAGGCTGCTGCACACCATCTCCGTCAGGAGTGGGGGCCGCTGGAGCAGGCACTGTGGATACTGGACCCTGCGACGGCTGTTGCCGGATGCGTACTGAAGGAAGGAATCCATGGACAGAACAGGCGTGGCCTGGACAACGGGTGGCGCGGAGGATGACGTGGAGGTGGAGGCTGCCTGGACTGACGGCTTCTGTTCCGGCGCCGTTGGCTCGGCCTTTCCAGCCTTGCAATCTTTGACGCGATGGTCCTCAGAGCCACAATTTAGACACTTCTTAAACCTTTCAGCCGCTGGCAGGTCGCTCATGGAGTGAGGAGCCTTGCACTTCGCACCGAACTTGCACCCCTTAGGCGTAAGAAAGTACTTGCACGGCTTACCCTTCCCCCCACCCTTAGTTTCACCCCCCTTGCCCCCCGACTTACCCCCCGTAGCGTCCATGGCCTTCAAAGCGACATTGTTGCCTGACCCACCCTGTGTGGCAATCTGTGCTCCAGCCATGGTTTCAAACTCGGCTAACAAGTGCTTGTAATACTCCTGAACCGCATCTTCCGAAGGGTGAGTCGCGATGTGCAGCATGCTGCGAACCATCTGAGTTCGGAACAT